GCCAGGGTCTCATGCTATGGGGTCATGGGATGTCCTCTTTTCTATATTTATTTCAAAAAGAAGTCTCCTAAGGGAGTAGAAATGCAGTCTGGTCTAAGGCTCCGGCCCGTGACTGTCCCTGTGAGGCGCTCAGCTGTGCCCCTTGCCCAGCAGCCTGCCCAGACCCTCCAGGCCTGCTGGCCACACGTGGTCATTCTCCTCCTGAAAAAAGCAATACCCTCCGAGTCTGCAAACCCTATCAGACAGAGGTCCCTTCCGAGGCCAACCCGTGTGTCTGACTGCATGTTGAGCAAAGCAAATGAGAGGAGGTTGGGTCTGCCCGCACTGGGCATCACATGCTGAGAGAAGTCCAGTTGTAAAGAAACAAAACAGAAAAATCCACAAAAAAATTTGTATAAAGACATATTTTTGTACTACATGGGGACTCTTCCTGCATGTCAGCAATAAAATTTCCTGTTCTGGAGCCACCGTGGCCTGTGCCGTCTGCTCTTCTTGCCCCCTTCACTTGTGCCTCCCAATCTCCCACCAGCCGGTTTCCCTCCCATCCCAGCCTGGCAGGGCAGGGTTCCTGCAGTGCTGGGCTCTACCACAAGGTGCCCGGGATGGGCGCCCCACCCCCAGCCCCCAGCCCGGGCTGGCAGCCAGCCAGCTACACGCCATCACTGTCTTGCATGGGGGAGGGCACCAGAAATCCCCAGTATTTTCTTGGACCCGCTGGTCCAGCCCCACCAAGTACCCAAGAGGGAACTCCCTGCTTGGCTTGGCTCAGCCAGGACCTGTGCAGGAAGGTGTTGGCAAGCAGCTGCTGCTTGCAGAGTATTGATCCTCCCCACTGCCAAGCCCCCAAGGTGGGGAGAACTTAACCAGACAGAGCCCACCCCGGTGCCCACAGGCCCATTCAGGGCAGCTGGGGTAATGAGGGCCAAGCCAGGCCCTTTCCTGAATCGCCCACTCCTTCCCTCCCCTCAATAGGAAGCCAGGGAACTTCCTTCCTTTCTTCTTTCCTTCCTTTGCTTAAATTTAGACCGCAGAGTGAGCATGGGAGCAATGAAACTGAAGGTAGGCTGGCCCCTCTCCAGGCACCACAGGGCCCGGCAGACTTACCCCTTTGTGCTCAGGAGCCCCACTCGGGCCCTGGTCACAGAAGGAGCCCTGGTCACAAAAGGAGTGGAGACCCCTGCAGGAGGAGCCCCTTCCCAGTCACGTGCCCACACAACCAGGGTGGGTGGCGTCTCTCCAAGACATGGGAAGTCTGGTTCAGAGCAGACCCCAGGCCCTGCGTCCCCACTTTCACCTCACGGCCCCACACCCACCCCAGCATCCACACGGCTCCCCATCTTCCTGATTGCACTCCCAAATCTAGAGGAATTTTGCCAATTCCATCTCAGCCATACACTATACTGTATCTGTGGAGCTGTCCTGGATGCACCGCCAGAAAGCGCCCTCACAGCCAGCCCAGCACCGCCTCCCTGCCCTGCTCCCACCTGACCAGCCTCTGTTCTCTGCCGGGGGCCGCCTCGGCACCCATATGTCAGGCCTGTACTCAGCAATGCCTGGGCAGCAAGCTGCGTGCACGGAGGGGCTGTTTCGTGCCTGGAGCCAGCCTGGCATGCAGCACACACACCACCTCGCTCTCCACCAGTTTTTATTGAAGCCCCTGAGCAAAGGGGGTGGGGGGAGGACCAGCCACGTGGGTGTGTTCAGCAGCCTCCTATGCTCCTGAGAAGTCAAACGAACGGAGGAATTCGGGCAGTTGTAGCTACTGCCCAGTCTCCACTGGGCTCGGGGAGCGGTTTCAGAGAGTGGCCGGCTGGGCCGCTCAGCTACCTGAAATGGGAAAGGAAGTGAGGAAATGGCACCTCCCTCCGTGGCTGAGTCACTCAGGCCCCCACGCCAAGTCAGCCGTGATCTCGTGTCTCTCCCTCTCGCCCACGCCCCATGTCCCACCTGCCACCTCTCACAGCACCCTGCCACGACCCCATCCGAGACCCAAGCTCCGAGCCCCGAGCCCCTCTCTCGCGTCCCGGCGTCCCTATCTCCTGCCACTGCCCAGCCACACAGCAGCCAGAGTGAGCCTTTCAAAGATCAGACGTTTTCCCTCTCCCGCTTACACCCCCCCGATCGCAGGACAGCACGTCCAGAGGCCTGTCTGCGGGCGAGAAAACTGCACCACGAGGTGCTATCCCGGCCTCCTCTCCAACCTCTCAGCCCCTCACCCCTGCCCTCAGGCCCCAGCCACCCGTGCCTCCTTGCTGATTCTGACCAAGCCAAGCACAGCCTCCACCACAGGGCCTTTTTATTGGCTGTTCTCTCTAGAAGGTTCTTCCCCACATATTTGCATGGCTCCTCCCCATTGCCCTCTGCTCAAAACACCGCAGCCTCAGAGAGGCCTTCCCGGGCCACGTGCACCTATCTGGTCTCCTCTAACTCCTCACCCCGCTCTGCTCTCCCCATCGTGCTTATCAGGGCCCAACCTCAGATCACCTGCGTGACCATTGATGACACCTGGCCCCCCAATCGACCGTGGAGCTCCACGTGGGTGGGAATCTGCTCAGTGAAGTGCAGGGGTGCGGGGCCTGGGGGGCCTGGGGGCCTGTCATCACAGCGCCTGGGGTGTGCAGCTGGCGTTTAGAGGGACCCCAGACAACCCCACAAGGAAGGCAGATGCCACAGCCTGCAGGAAGTGAGCAAAAACTTGTTTATAATCGCCAGAGCCAAGAATCTAACCCCACTGTGAACGTAAACAGAAAGGACTCATGTGCACAGAATGCAGACCAAAGTGTCAGGGAATGCAGCTACTGTGTGGAATGGGGGAAACCTGTGCTTCGTTTTGCTCGGAATCTCACCGAGAGTTCGCCACCGTTTCTAACGCGAACACCTCCCAGCATCCCAGTGGAAAGCCGCACTCAGAACTCACCTTCCCCACAACCGGTCGCTTCATGAATACCTATCATTTATTTCTAAGACATACACACACACATATATATTTATGTATATGCGTGTATGCATTTTAAATTAGATGTGGAGGAGGGTATATTAGCCACAAATTTCTTTCAGGAGCATAAAAGGAGCAATGCAAAGAATCGTGACTCTGGGTCTGCTGGGGTGGAGGGCCATGGCCTGTGGGAGACTGGCAGGGAGCACAGGCTCTGAAGTTCAAGTTCAGGCCCTGCCCCTTACATCCATGGGGCCTCACCTTTGTTACTCAACCCCTCTGAGCCTCACTTCCTCGCCCCTGAAATAGGAGTCACCCTACAAACTACAGTGGGGGGGACGTGAAGGGTCGAGGCAGCACAGCAGTTAGCAGAGCCCGAGGAACCGCCAGCAGGGCCGGCTGCGGGCTGCCGCTGAAGCCAGTGCTCAAGAGGCAGGTGCTGATGTAAAGGAAAGTGGTTTATTCAGACACCAGCCATGTGGAAGACGGGGGACTCAGGTCACAAAGCCCATCTCCTGGGAAGATGGGGGACCCACGTCTCAAAGCCCATCTCCACCTCTCAGTGGAGGCAGGGGTTCTTAGGAGGAGGGAGAGGGAACAGAACAAAGAGGTCAAGAGGGGGGGGTTGAAAAGTTCTCTACGTGCAGACAAGCACAGTCCATTTGGATAAGGAGAGTGATGGCCCCGTGCGGGCTGTCCTGGTTTAGTCATCCTGGCTTCATGTCACCCTGGCTTCACGTCATCCTGGCGCCACAGCTGAAGGTCAGCAAACCTCCCAGAGCTGGGATGCCTGAAGGCCAGATTCTGTATCTTCTGAAGTTAGTTCCCAGGATTCTTATACAAACAAGCTGCATATTACCGTCAGCACTTACAGAAACAATGTCAGAGGATGGTGGGGTGGGTTACAATTTCTCACCGTTATACCAGGCACAGGACAGTACACAACAGCAATTACTAGTAGCCATTTTGCGAACTCTCGCATTGCCCTCTTCCCAACAACTGTCCCAGGTGCTGAGGAGGCACTCAGAGGACTAGGCCCGTCTTGGGAGTCCTTGAGTGAGTCCCCTTCCTCCCTCCATCCAAGACCTAGGCAGCCTCTTACCCCACAGTGGGGCGAGGTCCCAGTTTGAGGAACAGAGCAGCCAGGGGAACAGAGCGGCTGGGGAAGGGAATAGTCGGTTCGAAATAGGCCCTGAATACACCAGCCACGCCCCCAGCCCCACCAGAAGGCTCTGAATCTCTCTGCCCTCTGCCCTCCCATCAACACCTATCTTTCGTGTGTTTCATCTTAAGATCACTTTTTGTGCCTCCCACCTTGACTAATCTCTAGTCTCACAAACAGACAAGTGGGCAGAGAGACGCCCAGCAACTGGGGCGGTGGGCAGGCAGCAGGTCAGTCCTAGGCCACCAGACAGAGGAAAATCAGCAGATAGACAGAGGGGATGGGGGCCAGGCAGGCAGGTGACAGATGTGCAGAGAGGTCCCGGTCAGCACACCCAGCACACAGGGAAAACAGGTGGCTGGCGGACCTATAGACGGGCCGGCCGGCAGGCAGAGGCAGGCAGAAAAGCAGACAGGCAGGTGGCCAGGAGGTCGCAGGAGCTATGCAGATGGCCGCAGGGGCCAAAGGCTTTGGGCATCTCCCCCAGGGCCTGTAGGAACAGCCCACAGTTTCTTCCAGCCGTTACTTCTCCCACCTGGCCTGGCTCGGCTGCATGTATCGCCCTCCCTTGTTGTCAGGGACCAGCAACCATCTCAACCCCCACTCTGCTCCGGCCTGGCCGCCTGCTTCCCCAGGGTGGAGGCAAACATACCTGTCACACACCAACCCAGACACACCTTTGTCTGTAGGTAGCGACACCCAGAGACATGCACAGCACATGGGGTGCATGAAACAGCTTAGTACAAGCATATCTGAAATCTTTTTTTTTTTTTTAAGTTCAGCTTCTTATTGACTATATTACGAAACAGGTTAGGTCAAAGAAAACGAAAGCCCGTGTCATCATCAGACTCCTCAGGTTCTTCTTTCTTTGCTTCCACTTTCTTCTCCTCAGCTGGGGCCACAGCAGTGGAGGGGCAGGACCTCCTGCTGGTGCTGCACTGGCTGCTGGGGCAGGTCCACCAGCCCCTACACTGCAGACCAGGCTCCCAATGTTGACTTTGGCCGGGGCCTTTGCAAACAAGCTTGGCCAGAAAGGTCCATCATTTACACCAGCTGCCTTAAGGAGGGGATCGATCTTATCCTGTCACCGTCACCTCATTGCCATGCAGCATAAGGGCTGAGTGGATGCAGGCGAGCTCCAAGACAGAGGCCATGCTGTGGGCAAAGGCTGGGCGAGCACTGCCGGGACTGCTGCTAGTTGCCAGGTAAGTGAGGGCCTCACCCCAGTGCAGCCTTAGCTTCCTCAGAAGGGCTGAGGACCCTAGCGGCAGCTGGGCCATATCCAAAATCCTACAGCCCCCCCACACTGAGCAGCAAGTGCCCACGGAAACAGGCATGTGCCGTACAGAGGCACACATCCCCAACACCCAGGGGCAGGGATGTCGGGCGTGCTCCCACGAGCACGACTGAGACATGCACTGATCTTCACACGGTCAGCATTCAGCTGTTGATACAACTGTGGAAACCCACTGACACCCCAGCTAGTGGTCAGCTTCCAGCCTCAGCTCCACCTCTCAGCCCGATTTAACATGGTTGATGGTGTCCTGGCACTGGCCAGGTCTCCCTCCCACCCCATCACTCATCTCTCCTGGCCGACCCCTCCTCCGCCCAACCCCTCACTGTCGGAGCACCCAGTCCTCAGGCTGCAGGCCCCCTTCTCTCTTCTCTCCCTGCCCCCTGGATGATCTCACCCACTCCCGGGGTGTTGGATCCATCTTGAGTGTCAAGGACTCGCAAACACTTTTCCAACTCGGACTCCTTGGGGCTCCGCCGGCCCGTCAGACACCCCACCTGGACATCTCAATCTATCTCAAATGCAACTCAGATTGCCCAAAACCTGCTCCCCAGCGAGGCTTTCCTTAGGTGTCTGGGCCCAACACCGGGTCGCTGTCCCGTGCAGGAAGTCCCACTGACGCTCCCTCCTCTCACCTCCTCCACAGCCCGTCCGGTCCGAGCCCTCTGCCACTGCTGGCCGGGATGGCTGCCAGCCTGCTCACAGCTCTGCTTCCCCTCTCACCCTGCATGGCCCACCCCACACCAAGCCCCTGAGGGGTCTCTCCAAAGGATGTCACTGAACCATGACACTCTCTTCATTAAAACTCCAGGCGCTCCCCCCCCCCCACCGTGACACTCACAACATCTAACCTCCTCCATGGGGGTCCGCCACCTCTTCCTGTCCCCACCCCCCATCACCCCCTCATGCCTCTCTGCCCTGGGACAGGGCTCTGGCCCTCCTTCCTGCCCAGCACGGGGCCCCGCCCAGATCCTGGCACAGCTGCCTCTCACCTCGGCCGGCCCGCAGAGCCGCCCAGGTGCTCTCCATCACGGATTTCCCTATTCCCTCATCCTGACCGCTCAGCAGCTGCCAAGATTCTCTCCTTCCTGTGCTGTCTGTCCACCTCAGTGTCAGCTCCGTTAGGGCAAAGATTTGCGTCTGTTCTGCTCACTGCTGAACCCTCATTACTAGGAAGTGCCAGTCAGTCAGACAGACACGGCCATCCCCACAAAAAGGCTCAAGTGGATACCACACGAGATACACAGACATGAGCAGAAATCATGCCACATGCTCACCCAACAGACCAAACAGCCACAAAGACACCCAGGAGTCTCTTCTCCATCCCTGGGGGAGCCAGTCCTAGTCCTTCCCCATCTAGATCTGCCCTCTGCTTGAACCCTGACTCCGGACTTGGAGCGGGGGTCTCTAGCCTGGGCAAAGAGGGGGGTCACTGGCCCACAGGCCTCAGGCAGCGCCTTCAGCTATGTCTGCAATTTCCTCTCCCCCCCTTCCTTCCCTCCTCCTCCCTGAGGCTCCCGCCAAGAAAGCCTCCCCCTCACCCCAGCCCCAGCACAGGAAGGGGGGCCCACCAGGCGGGGCTGGGATCTGCGCAGGAAGACCCGGGCCCACACACTGATCACAGGACTCATCACACACACAAGCTCCCTGAGCCCATGTAGAAGTGCATGTGCACAGGCAAGTTGAGCCGGAAGGGAAAGGCATTTTTGCCATGCACTCTGGTGCAGGGCACAGAGGCCCCCGGAGGCCCCAGGCTGGGTTCTGCAAGGCTGGCCTGGGCCTGGCTTGAAGCCTTAGTCCAACATTCATGAACCCTGCTGACCAGCGCTCCACCAGCTGGACGCACTCATGCCTGGGCCCTGGGAGGAGAGGATGACAGTCCCTTCCCTTGGATCCTGGGTTGAGGGTCTGGCTGAGCACTGACATCTGGGCCAAGGAAAAGCAGGCAGTCTTCCCTGAGTGAGGAAACCTTCCAGGGGGGAGAGCACGGTATAGGGACCGGGTTAAGGGCTCAGCCAGGCTCTAGGCTCCGAGAGCAGCGGGTTCCAATCCTGACCGTTTGGTCAAGTTTTTCAATCTCTCCATGACTCAGTTTATTTATCCGCCAAGTGGGATAATGACACCGAATTATAGGATTATGAAAAAGGATTAAATAAAAGAATATTGTAAAGGGTTTAGCCCATCGACTGGCACAGAGGCAGAAGTCCATCCTCATCATTATTATTATTGTTATTAGTAGCCTGGGGGCGGGTCCCTGGAACCCGCCTCCCCTGCGGTTTCCTGTGGGGGGGATAAGACGCCCCAGCAGGCCTCGTTCCCCCTCCTCTCCCTGTCCTCTGCCGGCCCTTTCCCTCCCCGCCTCTCCCGCCCCGCCCCGTCCCTCCTCTTTCCTCGGAGGAAACTTTCCGCCGGCTGGTCCATCAGCCCGTGTCCGGTCCGCACTGCCGCGGCCTGGGAGCTGAACCGAGCGGGCGGGGTGGCCGGGCCCGGGTGTGTGCGACCGCCGGAGGCGCTGGGACTGGTCCGTGGAGAAACGGGGCACTGACGGTGAGTGAACCGGAGCCTGTGGGCCGGTGGGTCCCCAGGGGCGGGCGGGATGGAGGGAGGCGGCCTCCCCTTGCCGGAGCTCGCCCGGAAGGTACCCGTGATTCCCCAACATCTCGCTCCCGGGACAGCGAAACCGGACCTCTTTTGGGGACCTCACGAGGGGGCGGAGCCTCCTTCGACCCACTCCCTGACCCCCAGGTTGGAGGGGCGTCCGCGAGCAGGGGTAGGACCCCCCCGACAGGGCCCAAGTCTGCAACGAAGTCCGGACGCGCTCTTTCCAGGGTGGACCTGCGGCTGCTCTTCCAGGGAGAGGAGCTGCCCCCAGGAGGAAGCGGGGTCGGGGGCAGCTTCAGCCTGGGGATTAGGGTCTGATCGTGCTGACCCCGCAGGTCGACAGGCGAGTTGCCCCCCCAGAGCAGCATGGATGCCCCCAGAAGAGACATGGAGTTGCTCAGCAACAGCCTGGCGGCCTACGCACACATCCGCGGTGAGGGCGGCCGGGGAATATACCCCTCCCTGCCCTTCTAAGGCCCCACTACACCCCTTCCCTCCTCACCCCACCCCTGCTGGTATAATTGCCCCTCCCCCACACCTAGTCACCTACAACTAATTACCCCCATCCCTCACTGTCCCCAATTGCCCGATGGCGGCTACCTAATGTCCTTCAGATAGGAGGTACTGTGTTCTTGTCCCCCAAACTTAAAACCTGGAGTCTTTTCCAGATGGAATGACTCCCACCAGCCCCTCCCTGACTTCTGCCCTCTGACCTCCAGCTAACCCCGAGAGCTTTGGTCTCTACTTCGTGCTGGGTGTCTGCTTTGGCCTGCTGCTGACCCTGTGCCTGGTAGTCATCAGCATCTCCTGCGCGCCCCGCCCACGGCCCCGGGTCCCCGCACTGCGCAGGGACCGCCACAGCACCCTGGAGGCGGAAGACGAAGACGAGGACGAGGACGAGGAGGACACAGTGACGCGACTGGGCCAAGATGACACGCTTCCTGGTCCAGAGCTGTCTGCGGAGCCCGACGGGCCCTTGAGCGTTAATGTCTTCACCTCAGCGGAGGAGCTGGAGCGGGCGCAGCGCCTGGAGGAACGTGAACGGATTTTGCGGGAGATCTGGCGCACCGGGCAGCCGGACCTGCTGGGCACCGGCACGCTGGGACCCAGCCCCACGGCCACGGGCACCCTGGGCCGCATGCACTATTACTAACTGGGCCTCATCTCCACTGCAAAGCTCTCTAGGTACTGGATGTGCATCTGAGCTCATAGCTACTGCGGTGCTAAGTGGGCCCCGCCCCCACAGCTCCCAAGGTGCTACTGGGCGCGCATCCCCACACTCTGGGAGGCGCCCTTCCTCGGTCCTGCCAGAAGATCCCGGGGGGGAGGGCAGGACACAGGGTCCCCATCCCCGCTTCAGGGCACGGTTAAGAGGTGAAGTGACCAATGAAAGCTGCATTTTTAGTGACTCAGTCTCCCTCTGTTACCCCTGCCTCCAACATTCCGCAGGCTCCTGCCACACAGAGGGCCCTGGGCTAACCACCTCCATGGGCCGGGTCCTCAGCACATGCTTGTATTCACTTCACAGATGGCGAAAGCACAATCAAGCACTTCACTAGTCTCCCCTAGGACAAGTATCACTCGAATTCCTTACTCACAAACGCATTCCTTACTGGCAAGCACCTGGACACACGTCACCCGTCCCTGTAAATGCCCAGGGTTCCCGCGTCACTGCAATCTGGCGTGCACGCCAGGCTGACCTTGACGCTAAAGTGCTCTTAGGCCCAGTGTAACCACGTGTGCCTGACTGAGTGGAGGTGCGTTTCTGTGAGTCCTGAGCTGATGGACCGTGGGGCCAACTGGGAGGGGACGGGGATTCGAAAGCCGGGCCGCCAGTTCCTCTGGCGCACAGCTGGATTCCGGAATCCGGCCGCAGGCAGGGCCTGACCCTGCCGGAGCCTGGGCCCCTCCTGCCCGCTGGCGTCCGAAGGAGACGCCCCCTCCAACCACCCCCCCCCTCCATCCGGTGGGTAAAAATAGCTGCGCACAGGCCTTGGGAATGGTAATGAGAGCCACATGTTGGCCAGATGTGCCAGGGAGAGACCTCCGGGAACGCTGAGCGCCGGCCCAGCCCCGCCCCCGCCGCAAAGGCCCCGCCCCGGCACAGACCAGGCAGGCAGAGTGTGCGTAGACAGCAAAGTTTACTTTCTTGGGTTTCCCAGGGTCCTGCGCAAGGATGCGGATGGCCGGCGCAGACTCCCCTCCAGGCCCCACTGCCGTCCTTCCCCGGGACCCCCTCAGTGCATCTGCTCGTGGCTGGAGCCCGGGGTCCGGGATTCCTGGGTACTCTGCTTCACCTGAACCTAGTTGAGAAGGCGGCGTCAGGGGAGAGCCGGCCACCAGACCCTCCCGGGCAGGGGTTCGCACCACACGCACCTCTAGCAACTGGCGCTTCTCCCTCTCACTCTTCAGCTCCTCCCAGAGGGTGGTCAGCTTTCTCCTGTGGACAAGACAGCGAGGGGGAGGGGTGGGCAGGGCTGGCTTTGAGCCGCCCCACCGTTCTCTTTCCTGCCTCCTCCTTGTGCTGCCCCACTTACTCCAGCTGCACCCCCATCAGCTCCAGGGCCCTCCTTAAAGACTCCACCTCGTCCTGTAGCCTTATTACGTCAGCGCTGTCATTTTCGCTGTTTGGGGGATTTTGCGGGGCTGGTGAATGGAGGCTGAGAGTCTCTGAAGGGCCTGGAGCCTTCTGAGCCGGGTCTGCCTCTTTAGGGGGTGCCTCCTCTTCGGGTGTAGTCTCATCCTTCGCAGGTGCCTCCTCCAGGAGGGTGGCGGCCTCCTCTGGGGGGTGGGCCTTCTCAAGGGCAGACAGGGACCCTGGCTCAGCCTCAGACTGGAGTGCAGAGCTGTCCCTCTTGTTCAGCGGGTGCTCCTCTGCCATGTGGACCTCCTCTTGGGACTGAGCCTCACTGACCAAGAGGGACTCGCTCTCAGGCAGGGCTGGCTCCAGAGGCGAGGGATGGAGCTGAGCGTTGTCCCCGGGGGCGGCCTCTCCGGAGAACAATTGATCTGGGGTCAAGGCCTTTTCTAGGGTGGAGGCCTCATCCCCAGAAGGGGCCATCTTTGGGCCAGAGGCTCCATCTTCAGGTGGGACACCTGGAGCAGGGGCCTCGTCCACAGAAAAGTCCCCGTCTGGGCTGGGGGCCTTGTCCTCTAGAGTCAGGGTCTCCTCTGGGATGGGGGTCTTATCTGGAGTCAGAGTTTCCTCTGGGGCCTCTTCCAGAGACAGGGTCTTCGGTGGGTTTGGGGTCTTGCCCAGAGTAGGGGCTTTATTTACAGGAGCGGCCTTTGCTCGACTTCTCCGTTCTTCCTCCTGTGGTGGTGGCGGGGGTAAGGTCTCAGCTGAGGGCTCCCCTTGGCCTGGGATCCTTCACCCTCACACCCCAGGCCCCTGGGAAGCAGACTCTGCTAGGTGGTCTCCCGCTCCTCCATACTGTGGGCCTCCCACCTGACTGGCCGCTGGTTGTTGCCGGGAAGCCTGGGTTCTGGATCGCTTTCTGCCAGGGTGGCCCGAACCCCCACTGAGGAGGCTGCCGCTGGAGCCTGTGAGAGCAAACCATCAGGGGCCCAGGCCTAGCAGGACGCTGAGTCTTCCCCCATCTTTGTCCCCCAGCCCTCACCCCACTGAGGAGGCAAGCCAGACCTACCGGAGTCCCGGGAGGGGCGCTTCTGTCCATCTCCACCAGGTATGCCAGCCGGCCTGCAGCATATCCCCATCAGACCCAGGCGGGGCGGGGCAGGAAGCGGCATTTCCTTAGTACCCTCATCCTTCCCCCAACCCCACCCTGCTCCTTACCTGGCTTTGCTGGGCCCAGTGTGGGCTGTCATCAGTTTCTTGACCGTAGGGAGGGCTGTTTTGGGCACCATCTTTTTTGGTTCTTTAAGAGCAGCTGGGAGGGAAGAGGGGAGCACAGCGTTTGTTCTCACCCATCCAAGAGCCCTTGGCCCTGCCCTGTGCTGCGCCCAGGGATGCAGGCCAGGAGAGGAATCGTATCAGCTCTGGGTCTTGGGAGCTCTGGAGACGCTGACCTCCCTCAGGCTGCAGCGAACTGTGGGCGCCCCCGCCAGGAGTCATCAGGGCGGTCTTTGTGGGGGGGATGGTGCCAATACCACCAGGTTTTTGCCTCCATGCTTTTCTGAGACCTGCCCCTCTCCGTGCCGTGCCTGGTTCAGACCTCACCTCTGACCTGCACCATGGCAACACCTCCCAGTTCCCCTCTCTCCTCCCGGAAACTTCTTTGACTCTCCATCTCGTTCACTCCTTAAAAGACTTCACCCAGCCTCACAGGTCCAGTCATCACCCATAAGCCAGCGACACCAGCACTTCCATTTTGAGCTCCTTGCTCTTCCCCAAACCCCAGGACTCCCATTCGACTGTCCTCTCATCTGCACTAGGAGAGCCAACTGGCCTCCCAGTCAGCACACGCCCGACCCACCAGTGAGCCCCGTCTGCTCTGTCTTTGTAACACATCCTAATCCACCTCGTCAGCACCCCCGCCACTACGCACTCCAGATGGAGTCACCACCGCCTTCACCTGGACTATCGCGACAGCCTCCAAGCAGGGCTTGGGCGGCACTCACCCTGCCTAGGGGGTGCTCCTCCCCCAGCAGCCCAAGTGAACTCATGTTCTGTGGGGGGAGCAGACATAAGCAAAAGAAGTAAAACGTGTGGTGTGTCAGAGTTATAAAGTATAATTGAGGGGGAATGAAGTATAACCTTTCATACCCTCACCGAGGACATGCTTATTGACTTTAGAGAGGAGAAGGGAGGGAGAGAGCGAGGGAGAGAAACATCAGTGTGAAAGAGAAACATCAGTTGCCCCTCGCACACACCCCAACCAGGGACCGAACCGGCAACCCAGGCATGTGCCCTGACCTGGAATCGAACCTGCAACCTTTATGTGCACGGCACAGTGCTCCAACCAGCTGAGCCACACCAGCCAGGGCGGAGTAAGTATAATTTTAAATGGGGTAACTGGAAGAGGCCACGCTGAGATGACAGCAGAGTGAACTCCTGAAGGCAGTCACACACAGAGATATTCAGATCAGCGGACACACGAACAGGCACATGCTCACACACACTGAAACTCACACGTGCCTTATCACACAGGTGCGTGCACGGATCCCCGACGCCACGCCACACCGGGCCAGAGCGTGGGTCCTCCGACAGACACCAGGCTTTGCAGAGTGTCTGGGGCAGTGACGGGGCAGTCGTGTGAAAACTCGGGTGGGTAGCTCGGCCTCTCTGTGGCCCAGTGTCCTCACCCACGACACAGGGGTGACAACAGTACACATCTTACAGGGCTGCTGGGAAGTTCGAGGGGCTTCATCCACACGAGGGGCTTACAAGAGCATCTGGTATACGGTCCAAGTTCATTCAAATGTCTGTTAGTTCACCTTGTTGGGTGCCATTGGTTAACAAACTTATACAGGTTTCAGGTGTACAATTCTGTAATACATCATCTGTATATTGTGTTGTGTGTTCACCACCCCAAGTCAAGTCTCCCTCCGTTAAAACGTTAACTTTCACTTCTGCTTCCAGTAGTATGACTGCTTCCGGTAGTATGGTTAGGTGACCGGCGGGGCTCTCACACCGGACGGCAATTGTGTCCTGCTTAGGATACAATCCGGGGGCCGTTGGAATTAAAAGAGGTAGCGAAGGGCACAGAAGGAGAAACTGGGGCCAGGATGGCAGTGAGGAGGCAGCGCTACTGGGACTCCCAAGTCCGGGGCCAGCAGCCGGAAGCAGAGGTCAGCCCTCTCTGGGGGAAGTCTTCCCCCGCCGAGGCCGGCACGACCCCCGCAGACTGAGGCCCAGTCACGGGCTCACACACAAAGACCATAAAACACAGGAGAGACAGGCCCCTGAGAGCAGCGGTCAGCAGGCGCAATGCGCAGAGACGCTGAAACTGTTAGGTAGGGAAGACAGCGCAGCTCTGGATCCACCATTTGAAGAAGTGAAGGCTGAGCCTGCAACACAGTGGCCATCAGGAATAAACAGGCAGATGTGAAGAAGAAAACAAAAAAGGGCCCTGGCTGGTGTAGCTCAGTGATTTGAGTGCGGGCTTGCAAACCAGAGGATCGAGGTTCGATTCCCAGTCAGGGCACATGCCTGGGTTGCAGGCCAGGTCCCAGCAGGGGACGCACTAGAGGCAACCACACATTAATATTTCTCTTCCTCTCTCCTTCCCTTACCCTCTAAAAATAAATAATAAAATATTTTTTTAAAAAAAGGAAGAAAGCCAAGCTACTAGAAAGTAGCACTCTTGAAATAAAATGCAATGTATAGGTTAAACAGCAGATTAAATGTAGCCAAAAAGCGTGAGAGAGAATTAGTAATCTAAAAGTACAGTAGCCCTGGCTGGTGTGGCTCAGTGGCTGAGCACTGGCATGTGGACTGAAAGGTCACTGGTTCGATTCCCAGTCAGGGCACATGCCTGGTTCACAGGCCAAGTCCCCAGTTGGGGGCGTGAGAGAGGCAACCAATTATTGTTTCTCTCTCACATCATGTTTCTCTCCCTCCTTTCCTCTCTGTTCAAAACTAAATAAAATCTTATAACAATAAAAGTAGAGTGAAACAAGGTGTGAAAAACTGAAAGCAATGTTTAAAGGAATGGGTAACAGAAGCAGGGCTCTGACTACGTCGGAGGGGGTGGACAGACTTGCAGCCTACATGGCAAGTTTAAAGCTGGACAAAAATGACAAAGCAACCGGTTCAGTGCTCTGGAAGTGGGCCAAAGGCATAACATCTCCTGAGAAGCATGTATGCTGGGTGGTGGCCCTGCCTACCCGCCCCCCACGGACCCCGCCCCCCACAGACTCCGCCCCCCACTGACTCTGAGCCCCGGGCAGTCAGCGGACTGACTCGTTGCCATGGTCGAAGGGAACTCAGTCACTTTGGGGTGTAACCTTAGATTTGACCTTGGTTTCATAGGTCTGATACCAAAAGCACGAGCAACCAAACAAAAATTAGATAAATGGGACTTCATCAAAATTCAAAACTTCTGTACATCAAAGGACACCATCAAAAAAGTAAAATGTTGAAATGAGTCAGTAAGAAAGACAAATACCGTGATTTCATTTATATGTGGGATCCACAGAAAATAAACTAATAAAAAAGTGGTAAAAAGACAACACAAAGAATGAAAACCAGTGCCCTAGCTGGTGTGGCTCAGTGGACTGAGTGCTGGCCTGAGAAGGGAAAGGTGGCCAGTTCGATTCCCAGTCAGGGCACATGCCCGGGTTGCAGCCGGGTCCCCAGCTGGTGGCGTGCAAGAAGCGACTGATGGATGTATCTCTTGCACATCGTTGTTTCTCTCCCTGTCTTTCTCCCTCCCTTCCCCTATCTTTAAAAATAAGTAAAGGAAAACAAAGAATGGAAAAGATTTATTTGCAAATTGTGTATCTGATAAGGGGCTTATATCTAGAATATATAAAGAACCCCTCAACTGAGCAATAAAAAGACAAATAATCCAACTAAAAAATGGGTAAAGGACCCAAATAACTCTATCTCCAAAGGATAATACAGATAGCTAGTAAAATATAAAAACTGCCAAACACCATTAGTAGCCATCAGGAAAATCCAAAGCAAGATCACAGTGAGACACCAGTTCATACCCACTAAGACAATTAGAATAAAAAGGAAAGAACAGTTAAGTGCTGGTGTAAACGTGGAGAAACGAGCCCTCATTCACTGCTGATGGAAACATCACAGGGCACAAATACTTTGGAAAACGGTCCGGCAGTCCTCCCCACAGAGTTATCGTATCACCCAGCAATTCCTTTCCTAGGTATACGCCCAAGAGAAATGGAAACATCCAAATAAAAACTTGCACAGGAAAGCCCCAAAGTAGAAAAAACTCAAATGTCCGTCAGCTCATGAATGGATGAAATGATGGATGAAATGTGATATACTCATTTACACAATGAGCTGGAATATTACCGGGCAATAAAGAGGAATAAAGTATAACACATAGACAAAATTGATGAACTTTAAAAATATTATGTGAGGTGAGAGAAACCCATTTAAAAAGACAGGGAGGGGCAAAGCTGCACTGTACGATATCAAGCATATTAAATGTAGGCAAATGTCTATCGAGACAAAGTAGATCAGTGGTTGGTTGTCTTGGGCTGGTCAGAGGGGGGAGGAGACTGGCAGAGTCACAGCTAATGAGTGCGAGGTTCCTTCTGGGAATGGTGAGAATGTTCTAAAATTGTGCTGGTGTCGGACAGCTTTATAAATATACTAACCACCCCCCAGTTGTATATTTTAAGTAAGTGAATTGTGTGGTTTGTGAGTTTTAACTCAACAAAGTTGGTTTGTTTGTTTTTTTTTAAAGAAAGGGTAGCAGGGCAGATTTGCCCCATGAACCACAGTTTGCTCATTTCTGGTCTAAACAGCCCCATTAAAAGGCAGAAATTGTCAGACTAAATTAAAAAAGCAAGATCCAACTACATACTCTGTACAAGAGATTCAAAAACGTGAACGGGCTGACAGCGGAAGGTTGGGAAAAGAGCCCTGACCGGTGGGGCTCAGCTGGCTGGGCAGAGTCCACAGACTGAAAGGTCGCTGGTTTGATCAGGGCACACATCGGGGTTACAAATTTGGTCACCAGAGGGCTAAGTACAAGAGGCAACAGATCGATCGATGCTTTTCTCTCGCATCAATGTTTCTCTCCCTTTCTCTCCCCCTTCTCCTCTCTCTCTATAAATAAATACATCAATTTTTTTTAAAGATTGAGAAAAGATACCACACAGACAGTAACCAGAATAGCAATCGTATATCACTATCAGAAAAAACAAACTTTAGGAAAAATTCCTAGAGAAAAAGAAGAAGTCATAATGATAAACAGGTAGAGATAACAACAGCGATGTGTACGTGTACGGCCCAACAACAAAGCCTTAAAGTGGTGCCTGAAGCAAACGCTGGCAGAACCGAAACAAGGGATGAACAATTCAACAGTAATATTTGGGAGATTTTATTCAGGAGGAAGTTAAAGACTTTAGATTGTAAGGTTAAATATAATTATGATTAATGTAGTCTAAACTCACCAATTTACCACTAAAGAAAAGAGTAACAGACTAGAGTAAAAAGAATAAGGGTACTTTGTAGAGATGTTTGTTGAATAATGATGTGCATATAGTTAACTTTACGCTTAAAAATGATTCAGACCCCAGTTAGTTGGCTCAGTGGGTTGAGTGCTAGCCTGTGAGCCACAAGGTCGCAGGTTTGATTCCCGGTCAAGGCACAGGCCTGGGTTGCATGCGGTGTGAGAGGCAACCAATCAATGTTTCTCTTTCTCATTCTCCCTCCTTTCCCATCTTTCTGAAAAATAAATTAAAAAAATATTTTTAAAATATGCTAAATAAGTAAAATCTGTACAAAAATATGTTTAGCCCTTGCTGGTGTTGCTCAGTGGTGTGAGTGCCAGCCTACAGACCAAAGGGTTGCTGGTTCCATTCCCAGTCAGGGCACATGCCTGGGTTATGGGCCAGGTCTCCAGTAGAGGGCGCGTGAGAAGCAACCACACATTCGTGTCTCTCTCCCTTCCCCTCTCTCTAAAAATAAATAAATGGTAAATAAATTAAACTTTAAAAAACAAAGAATATATTAAAAATGATTTAGAAGGTAAATCTTGTATTTTTAACCACAATAAAAAAGGTATGATAGGAAAAAAATTTCTTTTAAGTACTTGATTATGTTAACTCTGATAAGACTGAACAAAAAAAAAAACAGGGAAAAAAACTGTTCTTAGAAATGAAAGAACCTGTAACTGCAGATACAGATGAGACTTAAAAGATAATGGAATTTTTGGCCAGCCATTGTTAACTAGAGGCCAGGAGACAGAACGTGGTCCGTGCAAGTCTCTTAAGCGCGAGACTTCTTCCCCTCTGAGTTCCGTGGTGAAGCCATTTGGAGGACACGGGTCTTTGCAGATGTAATCAAGTTAAGATGAGGTCACAATGGAGTAGGGTGGGCCCTAAACCAATGGCTGGTGTCAGCACAGAATGACACCAGAGGGGACATGAGAAGGGAGAACACACACAGGGCAGAAGACCATGTAAAGACAATGGAGAGACGCCAACTGCAAGGCCAGGTTGCTGGCACCAGGCACCAGCAGCTCAGCCACGACACGGAAGCGATTCCTCCCCAGAGCCTTCACAGAAAACGCGGCCAAGAAAACGCGGCCAAGCCAACATCTCCATTTCAGATGTCTAGCCTCCAAAAATGTGAGAGATTAAATTTCTGTTGTTTTAAGAAAAAGAAAAGGACAGAATTTGAACTACACTTGTTTATAACTATTAGAGAAGTTTAAATACATTTTTTTCCATGACAGAGAAAAAGAGAACGGGCAAGTTTTACCAGCTTTGCAGGAAAGATGATTTCCATCTGATATAACATCTCCCAGATACTCAAGAAACAAAGTCCATGCTCCTTAACTCACTCATGGGGCCAGCAGAACAGTGATAATCAGATGAGGACAGTATAAATAAATGCAAAATCTTTAAAAAAAACTAGGAAAATGCCCTGGCTGCTGTGGCTCAGTGGACTGAGTGCTGACCTGCGGACTAAAGGATCCCAGGTTCAATTCCCAGTCAGGGCACGTGCCTGGGTTGCAGGCCAGGTCCCTAGTAGGGGATGAGTGGGAGACAGCCACACATTGATGTTTCTCTCCCTTTTTTCCTCCCCTCCCCTCTCCCTAAAAATAAATAAAATCTTTAAAAAAAAGAAAAAGAAAAAGAAAAAACTATAAAAATATCTCAACAGAAGCATTTCGTTTAAAATCAGAAACATGGAAATAATGATGTTCAGCATCGCCACTTCTATTCAATATTATGAGATCCTAACTCCTATAGTGAAAAAAAAAAAAGGATGGAAAAGTTAGAACAAAATTATTATTACAGATGAATGACTGTCTTCATAGAAAACTTATTAAGAATTTAGCCCTGGCTGGTGTGGCTCAGTGGATTGAGTAGCAGCCTGTGAATGGAAAGGTTGCTGGTTCAATTCCCAGTCAGGGCACATGTCTGGGAGGTTCAGTCAAGAGGCAACTGATCAATGTTTCTCTCTCACATAGATGTTTCTCTGCCTCTCTCTATCCCTCCCTTCCCCTCTAAAATTAATAAGCATGCCCTCAGGGGAGAAAAAAATCTATAGCTAAATTAACATAAAACAGTTATTACAATGGCCGGCTTTAAGATCAATATACAAAAATCAATTCACTTCTATATGCCTATAATAAACAGAAGGATATCGAATTTTTTAAGAGACATAGCAAAAACTCTGAGATATCTAGGAATAAATCTTATTAAAAAGTTGTGTAAAACCCACATGCAGAAAACAATAAATGATGCTGGCGCAACTGACTGTCCATGTGAAAAAAGGCATAATTGGATCACCTTTTAAAATCAATAAAAGCACTTAAAAATAAAAAGCAACACTTTAACATGCATAACTCATGAAGGATATTCAGCCCTGGCTGGTGTGGCTCAGTGGACTGAGTGCCAGTCTGTAAACTAAAGGTCACGGGTTCAATTTCCAGTCGGGGCACATGCCTGGGTTGTGGGTCAGGTCCCCAGTAGGGGGTGCACAAGAGTCAACCACACACTGATGCTTCCCTCCCTCTCTTTCTCCTTCCCTTTCCCTCTCTCTAAAAATAAATGAAATCCTTCAAAAAATAAATACTCTATACAAAAAAGATTGATAGAATATATAAAGAACTCCAACAAAGTATTACTAACTCGGGAAATGCAAATTAAGTCCACAATGGTATTTGAAATGGTATTTTGTACCTATTAGGTTCACAAAAATAATGAAATCTAATAGTGTTGAAGAGGGTTTGGATTATAAAGATCTCATACACAGATAGTGAAGCCCTGAAGTATAGAATCACTTTGGAAAATAAGCTGACTTTATCTAATAAAAGCTGAACATTCACACACGCTATAATTTAGCATTGCCACTCCTAGAATTGCATCCTAGAGAAGCAATTACACCTACATACCAGAAGACAGGCACATGAATATTCACAGCAGCACTATTTGTGATGGTAAAAACTAGAAATACTAAAAATGTCCAACATTAGGAGGAGACCAGACACGTGACCTGAAGGGATTCCCTAGAAGGAATATTATACAGCAGAGAAAAATGAACTGCATCTACACACAACATGGATGAATCTTAGAAACATAATGCTGATTGGAAACAGTAAGTCCCAGAGACTATAAACATATACCATTTTTATAAAGCTCAAAAACAAGCAAAAATAAATTAAGTGGTACATTGTTTAGGCACATACATATGTATGTACGTAAACTTAAAAGCTCATGAGAACTATAAACACAAAATTCAGGACAATGGTCACCCCTGGTATGGGGGGAAGGTGCAGAATGGGAATGAGGAGCATGCACACAAACTCATGGCATGTTCCACAGACCACAGGTTTTCATGAAGTTTTAAAACACAATCTATGTAATATAAATATATGTGTGTATATGTGTGTGTGTGTGTGTGTAATGTGTGCACACACATATGTATTCTTGATATGTGTGAAATATTACATTAAAAGGTAAATTAGCCCTGGCTGGTGTAACTCAGTGGATTGAGCACCAGCCTGTGAACCAAAGGGTGGAAGATTCATTCCCAGTCAGGGCACATGCCTGGGTTGCGGGCAAGGTCCCCACTAGGGGGCGCATGAGAGGCAACCACATATTGATATTTCTCTCCCTCTTTCTCTCTCCCTTCCCTTCTAAAAATAAATAAAATCTTTTTAAAGGAAAAGTAAATTAGAAGACACACCTCCCCACAGACACATATACAAAGCTATTCATATACACACTTAAAAGACGTGAACATACACACAGTCCTGAAGACGAAAACACATCAGTCCATACATTCTCGTAGGAAAAAATGAAATATATATATAAACATGCTGAGAGCTGCATTCTCAAGACATACAGAGAAACACGAACATATCGACATACACAAACACTGACCCACATCCATTCCTAACAGACCCTTACCCCACCAGGACATAGCTCCTCAGCGGGTGTTCTGGACCACTGTGGAGCTGGAGGTGTTTACAGGCAACTGATGGGCCTCCCGGACAACCCGTCACCCCAATCCTGGGCTTCCTGGGCACCCACCTGGTTCTCGTGATGCCACTTTCCGTGGGGTCAGCTTCTTGATCTGTGCAAACAAGAAGTATCAGAACGTGAACAGAAGCCCCCACATTTCTAGGTTCCCCCTCATTTAGGGGTGGCCCCCCAGCTCTGTCCAGTGAGCACTATGACCCCCCAACTCTGTCCAGAGGAACCTGCCCCCGGCCCCACCTGAGGGTCTGGCTCCGTACTCACTGGGGGTGGTGGGAGCACAAAGTTGTCTGGGAAAACGCCTCTTCGGCCTTGGGACTCTCCTTCCCACCAGCCCTTATCCTCTGTGGTCTGAGAGAGAAAGATGCTGTGGGGAGATAAGCCAGGTCCCCAAGCTCCTTCCTCCCCAGGTCCCACCCCTTCTCAACACGCCCTTCCCTGCACCCTCCCCTGCCTGCGCCTTTCTCCTACCTTCCTCAGAACTTTCACCTCTTCACCTCTCCGCAGTGCCAACTCATCTGGGGCCTCGGGCTGGTAGTCAAACAGGACTCTATAGGTCTCAGGGTGGGAGACTGAGGGGAAGTCAGTCCTCTGGAGCCAACTGCCCTCCCCAAATCAGTCTGCAGCTCCCCCCTCCATCGGCCTAGCTGGCTCCCCACTCTCTGAAGTCAACGTGGCTTTGGGAAGGGCTATCCAAGGGATCCTTTGGCTGGTGGCTCACCTGTCCGCAGGTAGTCTGGAGGGCCGTCATAGGTCAGGCTGCCCAGCTAGTGAGGGCAAGGAGAGGGAAGAACAAGCTGAGCCTCCACACACCCCTCATCCCCCGCCTCAAGCCCCAACAGGAATGCACCACCTCTGTGCCCACTGCACCCAATTTACCTTGGGAGGCCGCTGGGAGTCAGGACTGATTGAAGGCATGTCTGGGTTATCAAGGCCTGGTGAGGGAAAGGGAGGTTGGCAGGGTTGCTGATTCACAGCTTAGATCATAGAAGAGGTCAAAGGGGACAAAGGGTCAGGATGTGTGGATCACAGGCTCACGCCACTGGGAGGGTCATTGGAGATTGCAGAGTCTGGTCACAGGGTCTCACGGGGTCACAGGGTCCAGGTCTCACTTGGGGGCCCACTGTCCAGCAACTCCACAAAGTTGGATGGGAAGGCTCCCAGCTGCCCGTTCTTCTTTCCCAGCCACCAGCCGTCCTCAATCTGCGGAGGGGGTTGGACGGATGCAGGCGCATCTCATTCTGCCCCAAAGGTCTCTCTAGAAATCGTACACTCTTGGTTCTGCCCCGATTCTGCCCAATGACCACCTCCATTTTTGCTGCCTCAGTTTCCCATGTCTGCGTCCCTCACCACTCCCAAGGCCCCCACCCTCACTTCAGCCATCTCCCCTCACCTGGAGACGCGCTCTATCATCTCCCCCAAATCCTCTCATCACCTCATCCCCTACCTCCTTTATCACTTCCACTATCTCCCCAGCTTGCAGCTTCAGCTCATCTGCTTGCTCTGGGCTGTAGTTGAAGTTCACTTTGCACCATCTCTGGGGGCTCCAAGATTTAGCAAGGCGACCTGGAATGGGACGCGAACGAGGCCACTTAGGCCGGGCGCCAGTCCACTGAGCTGGGGAGGTGCGGGCTGGGAGTGCCCAGCTCAGTACCTCCAGGCTCCGCCCAGGGCGGAGTATTGCGCTCGAGAAAGTCACAGTCGGCAGAGCAGATGAGCGGCTCTGCCCAGAGGCGCCAGTCCCCGTCCCCGAGAGAGTTGGGGGTGGCAGGACGTAGCTGGCTCCGCACTCCCGCCCGCCCTCCGGCCTCTCACCATGGGTGCGCGGACAGCGTGGTCTCGGCGCCTCTCCCGCGCCGCGCAAAGTCTCCGGAATCTCCTGGAAATGAGGGCCAGGGGAAAGGGGCTCTCAGGTCCCCAGGGTGCGGGCTGAGATCCGCCCGCGCCTCCAAACCAACCAACACCCACCCGTCCAGCCTCACCTGCACCAGGCGCTCGGGGAAGAGGCCACGATGGCCCCCCAGCTCTCCGCGTAGCCAGCCCCTTACGGGTCCCTTGCACACCTGTCGGACCACATCCCCCAGCGCCAGACTCAGTTCGCCCTCCTTCTGTGCGCGGTATCCTGCCAGGACCAGCACCTCTGCGGGCGGAAGCGTGGCTCAGAAGGGCCCAGCCAGGGACGCCTGGCCGTGGCGCGCGTTCCGAGCTCCGTGTTGAGGACAGCGGGAGAGCTGGGTGGTAGTGTAGGCTTTGGTTGCCATTTCCACACGGTGTGTAGAGGAGCCACCCTAAACCCTCTGCACATACCCATAGCTTCCGGGACGCCCTCCTGAGCCCGGTAGGGAGGATAGCGCGAACACGCGGGCAGCCGAGTACTGGGTCTGGGTAGGCTGGGACTAGCTGCAAGACTGAAGTACAGGAGGCGGAGACACGAACGGATAGGATAGATCTCGCTCCAGGTGCTGAGAGTGGGTGTGGGAGAGGGGGCGGCCCGGCTCAGCAGGTTCGGCCCCCAACCTAGGAGTGAGAACTCCAGGGTCTCCGGACCGTGCTGAAGTCACAGCTCCCACACCTGCTCTGGCCGGCCTAGTCACCTAAATTTCCAGTCTAGCTGCCGCCCCTCCTCCCAATTTTAGCCCTCAGGCTCCCACCCACCTTCCGTAGAGCCTCCCCGGCCTATCCTCTTCCTGCTGGTAAGCTTTTAGCTGCAGGGAAGAGGTGGGAAGAGGCACGTAGCAGGGTGGGGCCCCCCTGCAGGCAAGAACCGCTCCAAGTTGGGAGCTGGGTGGAATCAGGTGTTTGCTCCACTGCATACAAATCTACTTCTGGTGTACTCTGCTTTTGCTGGGAGGCGTGCAATCCTTCCTGGCACCCGTTTACGGAAGAGGAATTAAGAGGGCAAAGACGCTTCCAGTTTGGTTTCAGAAAACACCTTCGGATTCTCCCGCGGGAGGGGGGAGGGGAAAGGCAGGGAGAAAGGAACTTTGGTTTTTGGTGCTCCTGGCTACAACCGGCCCCGAGCTAAAAGGAGCTGAAGTTTAGGGCCCACTGGTGCCCATCCCATATGGGTTAGTCTGACTTTCAGGTAATCTTCCTGCTCTGAAAACACAGAAGGCTGCGCCTGTTACCACACCCTTTGGCCCCTGCCCCACCATCTTCGAAGCCAAAGTCCTTGCTCATGACACACCACAGTGAAAAAATCTGGCTCCAGCAAGTCCAAGTTTTACGGATAAAGTAAAACCACTGGGACGGGAGTGCGGAGTCGTAAACCACCAGGGGGACAACTGAGGCTCCTCCCAGAACGAGTCTGGGGGCTGGTGAGGATGGGACTGGGCAGAAGTCTGGGCGCAGGTCCCGGCTGGCACATCACCTTCCGGGTCCCCTGAAGCTGCCGCGGGAGAGATCTGCCCCCCACCCAACACTCTCAGGGTGACAATGACCAGAGTCCATTTACATCTGCCACTTCATTTATTTATTTATATTTGCAGGAGGAGTTGAAACAAATCTTTAAGGGTATTTTCATTTTTTCCCCTCAACATGAGTCATTCAAGTAAAACCAACTTAACTATAGAAATGTAGCAAAGTAAGGAAAAAGCACAACCACCCGGGAGGCGAAGGGGGCAGAGGTGGGTGCAGCCCGCACACACCACGCATAAGTGCCTATGATTCACCTGCTCAGGACCGCCTCCCCGGAAGGCAAGGACAAGGACCCATTTCAAGAGGATGTTTCCCCCCAAACATCTGAGAATGTTTCAACTTAAAGCTTAAGGTTAAAAAGAATGAAAAGGAAAAAAAAAACCAAAAAACCCCACAAACCACTCAGGCATAACCACCTTCCTTAACCAATCATAGGAGTTTCTTTTCATTTTATAAAAAGATTAATAAAAAATATTGAAAAAATTATTTTCTCATCTTATATCTGTAAAGATAATTCATAAGTTTCTTAGAAAACAGACCAGAAACCGCCAACCCAGTTTCCGCCGCTGTTGCTGAGACCAGCAGGACCAGCAAGTTGGGACACTGGTGCTGCTGGTAGAGAAGGGGAAGCTCGGCCCAGAGGAAATCAGAAAACACTGGGGGGAGGGGCACATGGGGTATGGTTAGGAGCAATGCCATGTGACACATGGCTGTGCAGAAAAGGGGACACAAGGTGGTCAGAAAGGCCTTGAACTCCTCGACATACAAAACCGGTTTTTACAAAGATCCAAGCAGTTTGGTCCCAAACTGAGGTGAACATTTCAATGTTTATTCACATGCTTTGTCTCCTCTTTTAAGAATCAAAATTGCCCAAATTAAATCTTTCAGCTAATATTACTACATATACCTAAAAAAAGAAGGGTTTTTAAAACCAGGGAAAGGGAGAAGAGATTGAAAATCATCAAATTAGTCCTCTTAGCTCCAAATGAAATGAAATTAAGAACAAAACTGGTTTCTAATAGGGAACAAACCGAAATCCAAGTATGGTTCTCCCCTCCCTACCCCAGCCCCCACCCCATACACCAACAACAAATGAGACACAGCTAAAGCCCAACGTGTTGTGTTCTGTTCAAGAGCTGGGCCTGACCCTGGGTTGCAGGGTCAGCCGCCTCTGTCCAGTGGGACTTTGCACCAGGAATGCTTTCGGCTATAGTAGGATTCTGTATGGCTGGTGGGGAGTGGGGTGGGATTTTCAGAATCTTCTTGGGGCTCCTCTGTTTAGCTCTTCACCAGCCATCTTCCCAGTGCCTCTCTCCCCTGGGCAGGGGCTTTCGTCAGAGTGGCCCCTACTCGGTGTTGGGCTGCAAATTGTCCTTCTCTTCTCGGTTCTCTGTTCCACTTTCGTCGTCTTCAATCTCTCCTTCTTCCCCACTGAACTTGTCGTGGGCCCATTTGGGGCTGGTGCTGGACTTCCGGAACATGAACCTGCCCCGACCCCGGGGAAAGGCTCCTCTGCCCCGGCCCCGGCTCACCCACTTCTCACTGCCTTCGCCTTCCCGGTCATCGTGCTGGAAGGAAAGAAAGCTGCCATCAGTGCCAGAGTGAATGAGTAGCCAGAACCCTCTTCTCTGGACTTACCCAAAGGTGACCTTTTCAAACTAACCTATGTCCCCCACCCACCTTTTGCTCCTTTTCTGTCCTCCTCCCTGTTCCCCACTCCAAAGATGCTACTGATTCAGATCCAAGAGAACATTCAGTCGGGCACCTCAGGAACGCTAAGGCTGTTGCTTGGACATTATAATAATGATGACGATGATAAAAATCTTCACTGAGCACTAAAGGACCTATACATGCATTATCTCATTCAACCCTCATATCTACCCTATTATTATCACCCTCCACTATGCAAATGAGGAAACAAGCTTAGGAACTTTAAAGTAACTCCATGTTACTTAGCACACCATCTCTCAAAGGATCGGTTTGAGAAAGCCCATCGCACCAAAACATGAAACTATCTGATCTGCATTGTCAGGCAGCCAACAAAAGCAGCAACACTCAGAATACACATCTACCGCTCCAGCTCTTCCCACCCCACTCCCAGCCAAAAACAAGAATAGACAGCAAGACCAAGAGTAAATGACTTGCTTATGGTTTCAGACAAGTTAGTGGCAAAGGCAGGACCAGAAGCGAGCCTCCCATCTTGTATCTCCCATCTTTGGTTTTATGCAAGGAGGCAGTGTGGCAGACTGGAAGGAAACACAACCTACAACTCAAATGATCCCTGCCTGCTCTGATGGTCTCGTGAGATGAGGAGGAATTCAATGAAAGAATAAATGAAAAAGAACTTGGAAATCTAGAAGTCACTGCTATCTCACCAGCCCCTTGGCTTCATGGAGTCCAAACCACCCATCCACACAAGTAGGACTAGGCTGCTGGGTGGAAGGGCCAGCCAGGGCAGACTGAATGTATCAGGTCGGTGATGCTCTTCGGGTGGCCAGTAAGGGCAGGGAAAGGGCTGTGTGGCCTTTAACTCGCCCCTCTCTAGCAGTCCCACTCCAGCACCTGTTCTGGGCCCAGCCAACATTTCCTAAATACAGACTCAAGGGTCCTCGAGGAAGTCTCAAAGCAGTTCCCAGCAGCCCTAGAAAAGCGAAGGTGGCTTTGCAGAGTCCTCTACACAACAGCTCATTTCCTAGTTGTGCCAACAACTCAGACCCATGCCAGCCTTTCTCGTAGCTGATGAAGACTCAGCCCCAAGTTGGCCTTGGTCACAGTACTCAGGAGTCACAGCTGCTTGGACCTAAGCCTGCTATTTACATAGCAGAGCTAAGACTTCACTCACTAGCCAGGTAATTCAGCCTAGAAGAGCCCCAGCCTGAGAGAGGGAAAAAGGCCCAGAAGGGGCCTGGCACCTGGGAATGGCTCAACTGCTGAAATGAGAGAAACCCCAGGTGCATTTTGTCTCGGAGACAGAGAGATCCTGGGCCGTCTTCCTGCCAATCTTGCACTGGTGAGTGACAGAGTGGAACTGTGGCTCAAGGGGAGAGTTTCCCTGGGCACAGGCTGGAGGCTGAGGCTGGGCACGAGTGAGCTGTAAACAAGTTCACAAACTAAAAAGGGAAGAGCAACCCTCCTTGTTTACCCTAGAATCCACAAATGTCTTACATGATAAACCCTTCTGAGGCCAGGGCCACCTCTATGGAGAACGCTCCTCTTGCCACCACAAGTACACATTCCCCCAGTGCAGGTGCGTGCAGACACACCGCATCAGTTCTGAACAGACCAACTAAAGCCTTGGTATCAGCTACTACACATGCCCAAGGCCCCCGGCCCTCCCCGGGTATCCCCAGACACGGACCAGGTAGTACTTCTTGCTTTTGGGTGTGTACTCAGGGTCCCACTCCTCCTCCCGGCTTCTTTTTTGAAAATCGTTGTTGCTGTTGTTGTTGTTGTTACCAGAGTAGCTGCCTCTGCCCCAGCCTCTCCCTCTGGCTCGAAATTGCTGTGGCAATAAACAAGGAAAACGAAGGATCAGGTCAGAAACAGAGGAAAACTTTTAACTCCCTACGTTCAAACACTTTTCGGCACAGAACAGACATCCGTCCTCAGTCAGTGAGCTGGTCAACTGGCTTCTGGCCATTCCCCTTCTGCTCCTCTCAGGCCTGCAGCCTGGACAGAGGACAGCACAGCCCAGCGGCCTCCCTCCACACAGCAGGAGCCAGGCTATGTTGGGAAGTTCTGAGACCAGAAGCCCTAACAGGCTTTATATAGCTCAGTGATTCCGATCAGTAAAACAACTACAAGTGGGAAGCCTGGGCAATAGGAACCACAGATTTTGAGGTCTACAGACTGGATTACTTGATGTATCAAGAGCAACCAAACTGGTATTCTGATAAACAAATAATCAGAACTGGTGGAAGCAGGGGCTTAGAGGAAAGGGGTGGGGGCAGGGTCTTACAAAGGTCCCTCGAGCTCTGCCTCCTCTTTCACTTGGACCCACAAAGTCTTTGGTCCCCAGTCTTGATTTGTCAAAGCCGGTGGTGCT